GGCAGAGATGACGCAGCTGCTTCATAAATTAGCTGCGGAGTAATATATGTAGAGGTCCAATCCAAAAGTGATGACCAGTTGAAGTTGGAACGTTAAAAGAAAATGAAATTTTGTTTACTATATGTATTTGTTATTTTTGTAAAACATACATTTAAAGTGTCCTTAATGTAAGTTATTTAAATATTTTTTATCATTTAACACTTGCAATTTTACAATGCATTTAAAAAACGTTTAATAAGTCTTCTAAATTTTTGTATTAAATGGCATTTAATAAAAGTATTTAAGTAAAATCCAAATCGGTTGAATTGTTTTTAATATTTGTGCTAGCACTACCGTCTGTAAGTATTTGCGCAACTTTTCCCTGCGCTCTTGTTGATCAGATCTTTTCTATTCGTTGATAAAAAAAAACACTTTTCTACCAGACAAATTAATATGGCCGTATCTGTAAGACCATCCTCGTCCATTCGTTTTTACACACTTTTCTTTTGTTCTGAGCCCGAAGAATTAGCTTTTTCACTTCAGTTATTCTAGCCAATACAGCCGCTATGTATGTATGTATATGTAGTATATGACCAGTTATTTTGTTGCCCCTTAGGGTTCTAGGGTCAAAGACGATGCAGTTTCACGCTGAACAGAGCAATATCTTTATTCCCGAAAGCGCTTTCGATTTTACTAAAAATCTATCGTTGGACCGAATCCTTAAATTTCCCTATGACATAAGCAAATTAAGTAGGCTGCAAGGAAGCCGAACCCAATCTTTTCATAAGATAAAGGTCTACTAGCTTGTGAGAATGAAGGTATAAGTCAAGGGAACTGTTGCCTGACTTAGAACTACTTAAATAACACGACTAGCTTCTTTTAAGCAAAATGTACATATTTATTTCACTGAGCCCGGACTCACACATTCTCGAATCTCCACTGATGGCTCCAAAACTGACTCTGGGTCAGGATATCGGGTCTTTATCGAAGTTAATGGGAATAAGCTTCACTTTTCTCTTGGCGAGTATGCTTCGGCCTTCCAGGCTGAGGTGCTTGCAATCCTCCAGGTCATGGACTACGTGGTGAAAAATAGGTTGAGGCGATGGAGTTTACGTGTCTGTTGTGACAGCCAAGCTGCACTTAAGGCATTGTCCAGCCCTCTAACTACTTCCAAATTAGTTCGGCAATACAAGTCTCGACTAAATTATGTTGACAAACATAACGAGCTGGCTCTATTCTGGCTGCCAGGTTACTCGGGAGCACTTGGTAATAACCAGGCATTCCTCGGTTCGCAACCAGTTAGGACACTTCCCACTTCTGCCATCGAAGTCATCACCAGAAACTGGGTGAATACTTCGCGCAGCAATCACTGACGCGACGGCACTGCAGACAATTTGTTGGACCATCCTGCCTTGAAGAGGATGAGACGGTGGAACACTTTTTGTGCTTCTGACATGTCCTTTCAAGAATTAGGTAAGAGACATAAGAGACGAACACCTGAGCTCTTTGACACCGAACCTGCTAAGGTGTATTCGTAAATCGTGCAGATTTAAAACCGATTAAAAGGGAGCGTAAAATGGTCGCATGAATGATAGAATACAAGATTACGCCGATCAGAGAGGATTTTTGAGAATAACTTTTGTGTGACGTCACACTGGTGCAATTGCGAGAGAGAAATGCCAAAACGTGAGCAAGAATGGAAGAAGAAAAAAAAAATGTTGCAAGGAAAACGTAAACAAGTTGCACAAGTGTGACGTCATGCAAACAACGATTCTGTCAAATTCGTTAAGAGAGGAATAGCGGTTCGAGATCGGCGCAACCATTGTATTCTCTCAATCGTGATGTCTGAGTGTTGTTGGTTCCAACAAAAAGAAAGTATGTACTTCAAGCAGTAATTGTGCCTGAATAGAAAGATCAGAAATCCTTATTTCTTCTTGTAATAGTGCTGGAAAGATACCAAAATCACCTGCAATTTTGAAAGCTTTAAAAACATTATCGCCTATCGTTTCTTGTTCCTGACAAAAATTGAGTCATATGGGAAGTTTTTGTGTAGTGGACTCTCTCTTAGAGCGAATGATAAGTTTATGGTACTCAGTGAGCGCAACCCTATACTCCTTAAAATACCAACATCATGGCGCACTCATTTATTTTTTTTTTCTATATACAAAATAAAAACATCCGCAAAAATTTCTAAA